TGGGTTAGGTTTTGAGTTGCACTTCTAGTGCATCTATGGATCAAGGCCGGTGTTTAATGAAAATTCGTAAGAGGAACTTTTTAAGAGTTCTAGTGTCAGTTGTGAATGACATTGATAAGTTGCTGCATGCTGTATCCTAGGAGGTGCTTGAGCAACCACCGGTTTTGGTTCTCTTCAGCTCAGTGTAATAGCAAGCGATGTGATAGATCTGTGGCACCTGCAAAATTGATATTTTCTTCAGTATTGGCTCCAATATTCCATTGAAAAACATGCTAAAAAAGGCTACAGACATGGTCAAAGGTGCTTCAGCTCTATCGTGTCTTAAAGCTAACCAGAGAATTTGGAAGCCTTCATTAGAGAGGGAATAGAACTGCATATATCATTGCTTAGCATGGGTTCTTTCTTTGATACCATTGTTGTTTGTCCTGATCATTTGTTTTCCTCTNTATCTTAAAGCTAACCAGAGAATTTGGCATGGGTTCTTTCTTTGATACCATTGTTGTTTGTCCTGATCATTTGTTTTCCTCTTCTGCTTCTCAATCAACACCGTATCACAGCTATGAAGCTGTCTCCATTTTAGGTGAGAATTGATTTGCATGTTACATGCTCTCATTATATGTGCTGTTTGTCGGTGCAAGTTTTATTGTTGAAACTCAAAGAGGGAGTAGTGCTAACTGTGAACTTCCGGAGAATACTTCAAAATCTCTATGTTTAAATATACACAAGCTAAGATGCTATGCATAATGTTGACATGTCTGTATGGTATTTGTCATAATCTGCCAGCCCATATTGGATGGGAAAGATGGCCTTGGGGAAAAAGCTTTTGGGCTTCTGTGGAACCTTACATATCAAATAGATTAAATTTACAACATTTCAAGGATGGCTTTCCCCAAGTATCATCACTTCCATATTCTTACAAACCTATAGGAGAAGATATTGGACTCTCTTTCAGAAAAAAAAAGAACTTGTTCCCTGATCTCTTGTGGGAAACAAGATGGCTCATCGCGCTCAACATCTTACCTTNGTTTAATGAAAATTCGTAAGAGGAACTTTTTAAGAGTTCTAGTGTCAGTTGTGAATGACATTGATAAGTTGCTGCATGCTGTATCCTAGGAGGTGCTTGAGCAACCACCGGTTTTGGTTCTCTTCAGCTCAGTGTAATAGCAAGCGATGTGATAGATCTGTGGCACCTGCAAAATTGATATTTTCTTCAGTATTGGCTCCAATATTCCATTGAAAAACATGCTAAAAAAGGCTACAGACATGGTCAAAGGTGCTTCAGCTCTATCGTATCTTAAAGCTAACCAGAGAATTTGGCATGGGTTCTTTCTTTGATACCATTGTTGTTTGTCCTGATCATTTGTTTTCCTCTTCTGCTTCTCAATCAACACCGTATCACAGCTATGAAGCTGTCTCCATTTTAGGTGAGAATTGATTTGCATGTTAGATGCTCTCATTATATGTGCTGTTTGTCGGTGCAAGTTTTATTGTTGAAACTCAAAGAGGGAGTAGTGCTAACTGTGAACTTCCGGAGAATACTTCAAAATCTCTATGTTTAAATATAAACAAGCTAAGATGCTATGCATAATGTTGACATGTCTGTATGGTATTTGTCATAATCTGCACATATTGGATGGGAAAGATGGCCTTGGGGAAAAAGCTTTTGGGCTTCTGTGGAACCTTACATATCAAATAGATTAAATTTACAACATTTCAAGGATGGCTTTCCCCAAGTATCATCACTTCCATATTCTTACAAACCTATAGGAGAAGATATTGGACTCTCTTTCAGAAAAAAAAAGAACTTGTTCCCTGATCTCTTGTGGGAAACAAGATGGCTCATCGCGCTCAACATCTTACCTTGAGAGAACAGGAGAGTTGTTCACGATTTTATGAATTTCCTTTCTGAATTATTCTTCTCTTTCACTGCTGTGGATTTATAGAGTTCTGAGTCTTTCACAAGTTATAAACCGATTTCTAATGCTAACCATGGCTAGTATTTCTTCAATAATTTTATTGATTAAATTTACAACATTTCAAGGATGGCTTTCATTTTGGCTGAATCAACTGTGATTATA